AACTTTGCTCTCGACGAGTAGCAAACACACACTTTACGGCTCACTAGCTCGAAACTAACAGAATCATAAATTACAAAGAACTAAAAGTAACTACTGCTCTCTCTTCATTCATCTATATATCCTCTGCTGGCTTTCCTGCCAGGCTTATATACTGACGAAGAGAGCAACTCGAACACACTCGGACTTCCCTGATCATTCTAGAAACTCATCACGCACGCCACCAGCGCCAACGCGGCAGCAGCGTCACGTGACTTCCGCTGTCGTAACACAGCTTTACAAGCGAAGAAATCCCTTCAAAGCTTGAATAAAATCATAAAATATAAACTCAGATACTGCAAACGATTTCAATCTCCGACAAAAACTAATTCTTATTTTACCAGGGTAACATATTTCCTGATTATCAAATCGTATTTTTTTGTTCTAATCTCAGTGTTAAATTTTTTCTTCTCAGTTTTATAACACTGATTCTAGAATAATAGAAAATCTTCAATTAAAGTGTGAGTGCATTCCGCAAAGATATTTTTTTCAAATAAACTAAACATCTCACATTCATACCGTTATTCTGATTTGTAACTTAAATAAAATTGATAATAATTACATACTTAAATTAACTCACACCGCAAGTTCATACACTTGATTATATAAATAGCGCCTGGATCAGAGATGTAGCGAGAGGGTGCCGCTCCCCCTAATATTCCATTTGTCAGCACAAATCCAATTTTCTATTAATTTTGTGAGCAAAATTTTTGTCAGTGTTTTTTGAGAAATCTCGTGAGAATAATAAATTATTTCTTGTTGCGACGAATCTTCAGGTAAACAACGAAAATGTCGAGAAAAATTCGGCAAATGTCAAGCAAAAGGCGATAAAATTCCTAATTGAATAATTTGAATACACTACGTAAATAAAGCGAAAAGAGAAACACGATCGCACACACCCCACAACGACTATTTTTTTCAGCAAAATTAAGTCATACACATATATACGCAAGTACGGGGATATATGGTGTGGTTAACATATTACATATTCTTCTTTGCTAAGGGGGCAACCTGATTATAGCAGGTTAAGTCCAGGTATATTCATACTACACGATGTTAAAATGATTTATATTTTGTGTCCCATACTT